GTGTGTGTGTGTGTGTGTGTGTGTGTGTGTGTGTGTGTGTACGGGCGCAGAGGATTAGTGACCATAGGACTTGTTACGTTTAGAGGTCACTGTCCTTTGTTCACCCTTCTCTGCAAAGTCTGACCAGGTCCCTTCTTCAGATTTTTCTTGTCCTAATTACAGGAAAGCAAAGCTGGTTGCCATGCAGGGTGCTCAGACCCTTCTGTAGGAACTATGGTAGAAACAGAGGACAAGGAAGTGGTTGTGATAGCCAGCTTAGTTGTCCTAGTAGATAAACCATACGCTTCAGATGCTCCCTTACTTGGTGTGTATAGTTCCTTTCTCTTACCCCTTCCTTTGGCCCTGAACCACTGGCTGCGGGAGATGAATCTTTTACCAGACCTGCATCGCCCCCTGTCAGACAAGCTGAGGTACTGCTAGCAGGGCTCTGACCCTGAGAAGTCTCAGCGGAGCTGCTCTTAGAAAGTTGCACTACAAGGACACACACCTGCATGCATAACATAGGTGTACTAGCCTGTACTGATCCTCATGGCGCGCAACCCTGGGACGATTTGGTTGCAGCTGTATGTAGAGCCAGATACTAGAGTGAATGCTGAGTTGGTGCATGCCCTACCTGTTTGCCCCGAAGTCTGCCAGTACACAAAAGCTTGCTAGACATTCTCTTTTCCTCCCCACAATTCTTATCAGTGTGTGATCCTTGGAGGGGTTTATTACTATTTTCGATAGCGCCCCCCTTCTCTTCCTCGTCTACTTGCATTTTTGAAGTATTTTAAGAGTTATTTTTCTCGTCAATCCTGGCTGCCAGGGTTTCCTCCTACATTTCCTGGTGAGTGAGCACTAAGAAGATAGAGCTCTTCCTGTCTTGGAAAAAACCCATCACTCTCCTTAGAGTTCCTTGGTCAGCAGGGCCACCACACACACTAAAAAAATGGAGGGAATGTTGAGGGCAAGACTCCATGGTCAGAGAAGATCTTCTGAGACCAGCAGCCTTCCCCTGCCAAGCCTACAATGCCACAGTCCACGGTTGCAGGATGCTGTCCTGCCCTGGCAGTACCTTGGGAGTGTCTGCATGGGGGAACAAGTAGCTGCTGCAGCATACTCGCAGATCTCTGCTGCTAGTGTTCAGCCTCTCAGGTGGTCAGGAGGGCCTCTTCCATGGCTCCTGTCTGGCTGTACAGGGTATCCGGGTCTGTGTCAGGTACTCCCAGAGCAGAAGAGGAAGGCAAACTCAGCTATCACCCTCTAAGATCACCACAGGCCAGCACTGTGGCAGCCTATGGTTCAGCACAAGAGTGTTCCACAAATAGGCTGAGCCCATAAGGAGAGGTAGGACTGTTCTGGGAAGCCCCTGGGGGAGGAGGACTAGACATAAATGAGTAGGTGGGGAGGGAAGGAACAGGGGAAGCTGCTGTCACAAGGCCTGGAAGCCCAGAGAAGAGTCAGACTTAATAATTGGGACTCCAGACCCAGCACTACCACTTTGTCAGCTGTGAGATTTTAGACAAGTTTCCCACCCACCCACCTTCCTCCCCTCTTCTCAGTGTCTCAAGCCCATTGCTGGCCTTGAACTCACAATCCTCCTGCCTCTACCTCCTAAATTCTGGCATTATAGGCATGTCTTGTGCCTGACTTGAGTAATTTCCTTTCACAGTTTGTTTCTATGGCTGCTACAATGAGAACAGTAGAGCCTTCTTTACAGGAGATTATGTATAAAATGATATTTGCCTTTCAGTGGGCTGCATGATGACAGTGACAAAGGAAGTAGTATTGTTGGACATTTCGTATCTCCTAGCTGAACCAGAGGGCCTGGGAGATTGACAGTCCTAGAAGCTGCTGTTGGTGCTGTGTTCTGGTCTAGGTCATGGGTTGGGAGAGTGGGAGGGATTTGGGACAGGCAGCTAATGAGATTCAGGAAAGCGGTGGTTGACACAGGAAACAGAGCTAAGGGAACAGACTGTGCCTCAGTGGCCAATCACATTGTGCCTTCCTTGCGATTCCTGAATCATGAGAACCAGGTATGCTTGCCTACTGGCTGTGTGCCACCCTGCTATTTTTTCAGACGGGGTTTCTCTGTGTAACAGCTCTGTCTGCCCTGAAACTTGTTTTGTAGATCAGGGTGGCCTTGAACTCACTGAGATCTACCTGCCACCTGCCTCTGCCTCTCAAGTGCTGGGATTAACTCTGCCTGTTTCTTTTCCTCTGTTCTGTTTTAGAAGCGGAGGCCAAAAAAGCATGTGAATGGCTTCGGGCAACAGGATTCCCTCAGTATGCTCAGCTTTTTGAAGGTAAAGCCTTAATTGCTCTCCCTATCCTCTTCCAAAACTTGCTTTCTTCTGCAGCTTTTCATCCACAAAATGGGTAGACTACACCCTCACTGGTGTGTATCCTGGTCCTGACCAGCTTTGTGCAGGGACATCACTCCTGAAGCTCAGAACTCTTATGACATTGCGCTCATCAGCTTCCAACTCTGGTGCCAGGCGTGTTTTAAAGGCCCCCATCTTGCTCATTGTGTGCCTCCTGGTGACAATGTGAAGGAGGAGTTGTGCATCCTTGTGGCTCATTTGGGATGCTACTTTGCCCACAGCGATGGCCTCATTTCTGTTTTCCTTCATTTCTCTTATTTTTTTCTGGGTTTTGTAGAGTTCTTGGTGCTTGTTTCTCCTTCCTGTCCTTCACATACCCCTGCTGCACCCCTGCTTCATTCTGTCAAACTCACCCATGACTTCCATGGCCACTTCCCAGCCCTCACCTTACTCTTATCTCTCAATAGTATTCATTACCGATAGACATTCCTTTTGTCTTCTGAAGTACCTCCACCTGCCTCTTCATCTCTGGCTGCTGCTGTCTGTCCATTTGCTGACTCTGATTCCTCTACCTGGCATCAAAATATTAGGGTATCCCAGGGCTCAGTCCAGACCCTTTGCTTTCTCCACGTTGCTTTGCTGTGAGATGCTCATTCATCTTTCCTGTGACGGCTCCTGAATGTGGATCTGTCTAGACCTCATTTCAGAACGTCTGGTTCATCTAATCAGCCGCCAACTCAGTGTCTTTACCCTGAGATCCAGCAGGTACCTCAGATTTGCCAAGCCTAAAACAACCCCCAAAGGCACAGCCATCCACTCAGTTGCTTGGGTCCCATTTGGCCAGGAGTTATCCTGAATTCCTTTTTTCTCCATGGCTAAACATCTGAGAGTCTTGTCTTCTTCCAGAATGAATCCATTTCTTAACACCTCCACTGCCATGTCTGCTGTGATCCACCACTGCTCACCCGGAATAAAACACCAGCCTCCTTCTTGACCCCCATGCTTACGTTTTCACTGCCCCTGACCTGTCCACGGCACATGACCACATGACTCATGTGCTTTGATAAGTGCAAATCTTGCACCCCGGCTGACCACTGTTCTTTATTCACTCCACCCTTGACTCCTTCCTACTCCCAGGTCTCTCCCTCATCAGAACCTTGGTATTTGTGTCACTTCTGACTGAAACTCATTCTAGTTTCTCTGCTTAGCCAGCTTTTTCTCAGCCTTCAGGCCTTCTCTCTTTTAGAAATCTCCCCAGAAGAACCTGGGCTGACTCCATTTCATCAAGTAGCCACACCTGCATCAGCCTCTATTTGTCCTGTCCCCTGGATCAGGTTTTCCATGGCGTTTGTGGTATCTAGGTTTTATGTATTGTTGACTCCCTGCTGCCTGTGTGAGTGGAAACTCCCTGAAGGCAGGGACCCCAGTTTTGTGTTGTTCACTACTACCTTGCACGGTGCTTGGCATGAACTGGTGTCAGTTGAATGAGTAAATGTGTGAATGGATTTGCCTTTCTCTGCATATCTTCCTTTTTCTGTTCCTTTCCCTGAGTCTTGGGGAGATGGCTCCCACTGATTTGGCTAGACATGGTATGGCTATATGAAGTTGTCTCTGCCCTTTCTTTCTCCCTACGCCCCATAATTTGCTTTGGGAATGTAGGAGGTTGCCTGTGGGAAAGCCCAGAAATCAACCGAAAGAGAAGAACTCAAGTTGACTCTTGGCAGTCATTGAAAGTCTCAGACCTGTTGTCTAGACCTGGACCTCTTTTACTTGGTTCTTCACTTCAGCTCAGACCTCCCAGACATTCTCTGGCTTTTCCTTCAGTTACCAACTTTGACCTCCCTAAGTTCCCTTGGGCTCATTAGCTTTCTTTCCCCGTGACACAATACCTGAATGTGGCAGTTTGAATGTAATTGTCTTCCATACTTCAAAGGGAGTGGCACTATTAGGAGGTGTGGCTTTGTTTGAGTAGGTGTGACCTTGTTGGAGGAAGGGTGTCACTGTGGAGGTGGACTTTGAGGTCTCATATATGCTCAAGTCCTGCCCAGTATCTCAGTTCACTTCCTGTTGCCTGCAAGATGTAGAACTCTCAGCTCCTTCTCCAGCACCATGTCTGCCTGCCCACTGCCATGACTAAACATGATGATAATGGACTAAACCTCTGAAACTGTAAGCCACCACCCAATTAAATGTTTTCCTTTATAAGAGTTGCCATGGTCATAGTGTCTCTTCACAGCAATAGAAATCCTAAGACACTGAGATAAGCAACTTAAAAGGAGGGACAATGTATTTGGCCTTGTGGTTTCCATCCATGGTTGTTCGGTCCTGTTACTTTTGGCTGTAGCCAGGTAGAACATCATGGTGGAAATGCAGAGAAGGAGGAAAACTTCACCCCTCGTGGTGGGCTAAGACGGAAGGGTCAGGAGGGATAGTGTGGATAAGAGTGAAGTTCTGAAACCCATTCAATGACTCCATTCCTTCCACTGGGCCCCACCTCCTAAAGGCTCTACCATATTCTGGGCACCTGCAGCTGGAGACTTAAGCCTTCACCTTAGACTCTAAGGCATGGCTCTCAAGTTCTAAGTGATTCTCAACCTTCTTAATGCTGCAACCCTGTAATATAGTTCCTCATGCTCTGGTGACCCCTAACCATAAAATTATAGCTGATATGTGACCCATGTGGGTCTAAGGTCTAAGGATTAGAGAGACCTTAAAAGCCAAACCCTACCACCTATTTCTAGCTTTTCCTTCTACTGTGGCCCTTGCCTTCTTGCTTCCTTTCTTCCTTGCCTCCCACTCCCACAGTTCAAGAGTATCTGGGGCCATTTCTGAACCCCTACCAGACTCATCTTTGCTTCTTTCCACCACACAGAAGGTGTGTTCCCCCTGGATATTGGCTCTGTGAAGAAGGACTACAGTTTTCTGGACCAGGACTCTCTGGGGGCCCTGTGCAGGTAGGGAGCTGAGGGCCAGGCCTAGGAATCCTTGAGCCCATTTTGTGCTTCTTTGTGGAAATGACAACCCCCTTGTACCTTCCATTAGAGGGGAGCATAATTAATTAATGAGCCTCATTTTCTGCATTCGTATTGCTCATTGTGGTTACTGTGTCTGTAACACATTCCTCTACCCCTGTCACTGTACCTAGAAGACCCACATCTGCTCTTGATTCAAATCCCTCAAAGCATGCCTTGGCTTCAGCCTCTTTCTACTTAAACTAATTCTGATGTCTCCTAAGGCTAAACCATGCTTTCTCCTAGAATCTATTAAAGTCACCTTGCTGGTTAGCCTCTGTATTCTGACCCTCCTCCCCTACAAAGCTATCCTCTCTACACACACCAGAATCAGTTTTTTTTTTTTAACCCCAGGTGGGTACTCTCCTCTGTTTAAAATCTGACACTGCCTATATGTAAAAATACAAAACCTTTTCAGACTGACACATTTGCCATCCTTCTTTTGACCTCCCTTGGCTTTGATCACAACCTCTCCCACTAGTTTCTTTGTTGACTGACTGTGCCCTTCTTTACCTTATCACAGGCTCCTGGAGAAGTCTGGAATAGCTGTCCCTGCTTCCCTTGCCCTCAGAATGCCCCCTCAGCTTTGCAGGAAGCCTTACTTCATCTCTTCCTGAAAGTTCCTGGTCTCATCCTCAGTGTGTCTGCTGTGCCTTCTGCATGCTCTTTCCTTGAACCTATCCCATTTGTAGTGCTTTATTTCTGTATCTGTCAGCACCTGGAGGACAGAGGCTCTAATCTTCTTAGCATCGTACTTGGAAGAGTTTTGACCCCCTCGACCATGGGAAATGGTGGGTGGCATCTTAAAAGTGTCTTGGTAGGTTATGTCAGCAGCCTCTGGGAATTGAGGACCTTGGGTGAACGCGTACTTTGTGTTGCAGGAGGCTGATGACCTTGAACAATTGTGCTTCGATGAAGCTTGAGGTTCATTTTCAATGCAAACAGGTGAATCCCGGAAAGGGGTGAGGTCTGTGGTCTCCCGGTATCTGGGAAAATCCTGGAACACTTGTGAACAAGCTCTGTTCTCCAAGGAGTCCAGGGTCTCTAGTGTGGGGGTGGAGGTGCAGGCCCTATGAGATCACTTAGGGTTTTGATGAGCCTCCCCTATGGGAGCATGTGAGAGCAAGCACCTGGCTCATGCCTGCCCCTGCCCCCTATTCAAACCACTGCTCCCTTTTGTTTTTCAGTAGAGAAGTCCACTTACTTAAGAGAAAACCACTTACTTCTCAGTTTGTCATGGCTAAAATTCCTTGAATAGGAGAAGAGACAGGACAATGTAGCAGAAAGATCAAAGTCAGGATCACCACAGCCTTACCTCCCAAGATCTTACTTCCTTGGTCCATAGCCTCATTTTCCCCACCACTACAATGAGTCAGGGGACTGGACTGATAGTTGTCTAAGGCCTTTCCAACTTGTCCATTTCTTGCAGAAACCATAAGGCCTCTTTGTCTGTATATGGCCTTGAAAGTGAGCCTCATGGCCTCATTGTCTCCTGGGAACAAGTTTTTTGGTTTTCTCTGGAGCTTTCCCCACCATAGGCCTGCAGTCAGGTAGGGTAGCCAAAATGACAAAGCACTGGCCTGGGAGCACTTCTGCCACTGTCTTGGTTTCCTCACCTTGCCAAGGAGAAAATGAATTAGAAAACCTAAAATCCCCTCCCATTCTTAGATACCCTAATTTTAATCTAAGACTATAGCCTTAAACCTTAAAGAATCTCTGTCATTGACATAACCATGATAGTAAATGATGTTGGGCAAATAGCTTCTGATTTGTGTCACTTTTCCTATCTGTGAAATGAGGGTAATGGACTAATTAGATGACTGTCACCATACATCTAGGCTCTGTCTGTGATTCCTAGTTTCCTACAAAACTCCCAGAGCCAGCTTTCCATTCCTAGGCCATGACCTCCACCAGAAAGCAAAGTTCTTTACCCTGCCTCACCCTAAAGCATTTGGAAGCAGAGTAAGGCACAAGCTGGTACTTGTCTGTTGGGCTTCTGTGACCTCCTCCCTATGATGCCTCCCCAGGATGAAGACTCAGAAGAGGAAGAGCAATGCACCATCAGCAGCCACTGGGCCTTTGAGCAGGAAAGCAAGTGTGGGTCCCCCATGGGCTCTTCTGGCCTGCTGGCCCCACCAACTTCTAGCCTCCTGGGGACCTCAAGCTGTGAAAGTGTCCTCACTGAGATTAGTGCTGCCTCCTTGCCAGCCATCTCTGTGAGCCGTTCACCAGAGTCAGCAGACCTGTCCTTGATAGATCGTGTCCCCAGCCCAAGTAACCGGTCCTTCCTTCGTCCCAGCCAGGGCCAGGAGGGCTCTCAAGACAAAGTAAAGAAGCATTATTCCCGAAGCTTCCTCAAGCACCTCGAATCTCTGCGGAAGAAGGAAAAGGGTGACAGTCAGCAAACAGAGCCTGAGAAACGCCTGACCACCTCAGAAAAGGCCACCAAAGCGTCATCTTTCCGCAGTTGCCGTGGCTTCCTCTCAGCTGGATTTTACAGGGCCAAGAACAGGGCCACCACTTCATCCAGGGGTAGAGATGGTGAGACACAGAAGGCCTGGGAGGCCTGGCCTATAGCCACACTCCGGCATCCCCAGCCTGTTCGCCGGCGTGACTACCTGGTACATGTGCCTGGGGACCATAAGCCAGGCACATTCCCTCGTTCTCTGTCCATTGAAAGTCTTTGTCCAGATGATGAACATCACCTGGCAGATTGGCAGCCAGGTAGGTGCTGGGGCTATGAAGGACGCCGGGGCTCCTGTGGGTCCACGGGCAGCCATGCCAGCACTTACGACAACTTGCCTGAGCTGTACCCAGCTGAGCCTATACAGGCTGAGGCTGAGGCTGAGGCTGAGGCTGAGGCTGAAGATGAGGAGGGTGAATGCAGCTATGCCCATCTAGATGACATCCTGGAGCACGTGTGGGGTCTGCAGCAACGGGTAGAGCTCTGGTCTCAGACCATGTACCCAGAGCTGAGGCCTGCAGATAAGGATGAGGAAGAAGAGGAGGAGGAGGAAGAGGAAGCTAGTTCATCAGTTGAAATAGCCACAGCTGAGGTGGAAGGCCAAGATGAAGATCTAGGCCAGGCGGAGTCTCAAGCCCACAAAGAGTTCCCACCTCAAGCCAAGGATGAAGTCCCACTTATAACCCTGGCTCAGACCCCAACTGTGGTCAAACAATTGGTCCAGGCTGAGACTGAGGCTAAGGCTCCGGCTCCAGCCCAGGCACAGGATCATGAACAAGAAGCAAACTCAGCTACAGAGCCTACTTCTGTCTCCAGTCTGTCTGTGGAAGAAGGACAGTCCATTTCTGACACCGCGGTTTCCTCCAGTGAACTTGACAGTAGTGGCAACTCCATGAATGAGGCCGAAGGTGCAGAAGCCCTGGTAGGACTCCAGGCATCAGTGCCCCGTGAACGGCGTGATTCAGGTGTTGGGGCCTCACTTACCAGACCTTGCAGGTGGGAGTTTGGGGTAGGGTTGGGGGTGGGGTCCCTTCTCAGTCTCTGCCTTCTCTCTGTTCTGCTTTCTTAGTTGTAAGGACCAGGGGAAAGTTCTCAGGGGGTCAGGAGATTATTTCCAGGCAGCCAGTCCCAAGAGAAAAGGAGAGTTCTGAGTGTTCAGTACAGCATCTAACTGTGGTGTGGCCTTGAGAAAACACTGCCTTTTCTGGCTTTTGTTCGTTTGTCTTAGCAGCAGGGTGTCAGAGATGGTCTCTGCCCGTCAGTTTCGATGAAGAGTGTTTCTTGCCACAGTAACCTTAGAACAGGGTGGAGACTGGCACTGTCTTTTAGGACTAAGTGTGTCTGAGCTTGTTGCCACCCTCCATGAAAGCTTCTTGAACCCTGGGTGGCCTAAAAGCTGAAACCAAGCTTTTGCCGTGCCAAGGCCCCATCATAGCACTCAATGTGTCCCCACCTCCCTATTCTTCTTTTTCTTGGGGAGATAAAAGGGACCAGAAGGGCATGGCCTTTTCTAAGGGTTAGCAAACCTGTGTCTCTGGTGCTCTCTGCCCCTCTCACCTCAGGAAACTCCGTTGGCACAGCTTCCAGAACTCCCACCGACCTAGCCTCAACTCAGAGTCACTGGAAATCAATCGGCAGTTTGCGGGCCAGATCAACCTACTTCACAAGGGCTCGCTGCTGCGGCTCACTGGCTTCATGGAGAAGTACACTGTGCCCCACAAACAGGCCTGGGTATGGTGAGTGTCTCTTAAGCCATGCAGGACAGAAGCTATGGACTTTCCTAGGTTCTGTGTCCTGGGAGCACAACCCAGACACAGGACAGAAAGGCAGGCTGAACCCACAAGAGAGTGGAGTGGTATCATTCCAGGAGACTGGAGGGGTCGTGTAAGGACAGATGTAGTCTGGAAATCCCCAGGTCCTCCAGCTGTCCTTTCTCCATCCCAGCCTCCATTCCACCATCAGAGAGGCTGCCCTAAAGTACACTTGGGTTGTCGTGTATTGAGTAAATAAACAGCCTTGTGCCTTCCCATTGTCAATTCCTTTCTGTCATGATCCTCTCATGCTCTGGGGTAGCCCCATCCTTCTGGCTCTTTAGTTATCCATTCTCAAGCAGTGTCATCCAATGGCCGGTGGGACAAGTTGCCCTTCTCTCTGTGCCTTTTCACATTTGTTCATACTGTCCTCTTTGCCTGGAGTACCTTTGCCGTATTCCTCCCGTGAGACAACACTGCTCTTTCTTGCCGGAGTCGGCTGAGTCAGTAGGTGTACTTTTCCTTCCTAATGGCTCTTCCCCTAAGTTCAAGATCTATCGATGGGCACATGAATTATCAATGAGGGCTCCTATGTCCCTGTGGCTTCTGCAGATGCTCACTGAACATGGTTTCTGGGGACCTAATGTGTTCTCTACTCTTCTCACTTCTAGATGGTACATAGCCTTCAAACCTAGCTCTCTTTCCTGATTGCTTGTTAACCCCCAAACAGGTCAATGCCCAAGTTCATGAAAAGGAATAAGACCCCAGACTACCGGGGGCATCATGTGTTTGGAGTGCCACCCCTGATCCATGTGCAGCGAACAGGCCAGCCTCTGCCCCAGAGTATTCAGCAGGCCATGCGCTACCTACGAAGCCAGTGCCTAGACCAGGTGAGTACTCCTCAGGGAGCATGTGGTGCTGGGAGGTGAGAAAGGCCCAGGGCTGACTGCTCGGCCCTTCTTCTTGGGTTGGGCTACTCACCAGAAACCTCTTCTCTCCTTGCAAGACTCGGTGGGGCTGATGCCAAGGTTCCCTTCCTTTCTTAATGACTGAGGCCTTCTGCCCACGTTGGGGGCAGCTTCTTTATGTCCCAGGCTTTGTAGTCTCCCTAGTCTCAGAGCTTGTCTTAGCCTAAGGCCACTTGTTCACCCTCATCCCCACGACAGCTATCTTTCTCTTTGGCATCAGGCTGTAAACAACTTTCTCTCTGGACTTGCTGAGCCCATCAGGAAGCCTGCCAGGCTTCCCAGTCTCCAAGATGGCCTATGCTCCTGCCACCCTAGTCCTGGACTGCCCTCACAGTCTCCCTTCTCCTCTGCATATCACATTATTCCTTCCTCTCAATGGGTCAGGTGGGCATCTTCCGCAAGTCTGGGGTCAAGTCCAGGATCCAGAGCCTGCGCCAAATGAATGAGACCTCCCCTGACAACGTCTGCTATGAGGGCCAGTCGGCCTATGATGTGGCTGACCTACTGAAGCAGTATTTCCGGGACCTGCCTGAGCCCATTTTCACTAGCAAGCTCACCACCACTTTCCTGCAAATCTACCAGCGTAAGTTCCTCATAGCCCTCCTTATTAACCTGCCCCACACTTAGCCTGCCTGATCCTGAGGGCTTGTGGGAAATGAACCTGGCAGCTGGCCACATGAGCTCATGGGACCATTTACTCTTTGGATTTGAAAAGACACTGGGAGAGGGGCCACAGTCTACTTCTCCCTCAAACCCATTTTTGGTAAGATAGACTGAGGCCATAAGGAAAGAACTTTCCAAAAGGCTGCCCTGAGCATTAGAGCAGTACGTGATCTAGCCACCAGATCCCATCTGACCTTTTTTTTTTTTTTTGAGACTACTGGTGCTTCTGGAGAAATAAAAAAGGCCCTTCTGCCCTTCCTGTTCTGCAGTCCTCCCCAAAGAACAGTGGTTGGCAGCCGCACAAGCTGCCACCTTGCTGCTCCCTGATGAGAACCGAGAAGTGCTACAGACCCTGCTCTACTTCCTAAGTGACATAGCCTCTGCCGAAGAAAACCAGATGACAGCTGGCAACCTGGCAGTGTGCCTGGCACCCTCCATCTTCCACCTCAATGTCTCCAAGAAGGACAGCCCTTCTCCCAGGTGAGCCGGGTAGTGGATGCTGAGGCCAGTCCAAGGGAATTTGGCTTCATGGCATTTGGGGAGCTACTAGTGTTGTTCCTACCCTTATACCAAGGGTTTTTAGCCTTAGCCACGGTGGAGCATCCCTTCCCCAAAAGATACCAGGTAACTTTATAGTCAAGAATGGCAAGCTGGCTTCTAAGAACTAAGAGGCAGCTGTTACTCATCTTGTCTTGTGCCTTGGTGCCATCTTGGTCTGTCCCCATCTCCCTCTAGGATCAAAAGCAAACGCAGCCTCGTTGGTCGGCCAGGCCCTAGGGACTTGAGTGAGAACATGGCTGCCACCCAAGGCCTATCACACATGATCAGTGACTGCAAGAAACTTTTCCAGGTGAGTCTGGCAAGGCCATGGTACCTGATTATGAAAATTATCAGGCCCGACCTTTGGACCTTGTTTCAGAGTTCTCTAGAGCAATGGTTCTCAACCTGTGGGTTGCAACCCCTCTGGAAAACTTCTATCTCCAAAAATATTTACATTATGATTCATAACAGTAGCAAAATTACAGTTTTGAAGTAGCAATGAAAATAGTTTTGTGGTTGTAGTCACCACAACATGAGGAACTATATTAATAGTTGCAGCATTAGAAAGGTTGAGAACCACTTCAATAGAGGAACAGAACTGATAAAATGAGTGTGTGTGTGTGTGCGTGCGTGCGTGCGTGCGTGCGTGCGTGCGTGCGTGCGTGCGTGCGTGCGTGCGTGCGTGCGTGCGTGCGTGCGTGCGTGCGTGCGTGCGTGCGTGCGTGCGTGCGTGCGTGCGTGCGTGCGTGCGTGCGTGCGTGCGTGCGTGCGTGCGTGCGTGCGTATGTGTGTGTGATTAGCATGGCTTACAGGCTATAGTCTGACTAGTCCAACAATAGCTGTCTCCCTATGGAAAGGCCAAGAGTCTGGTAGTTGTTCAGTCCATGACGCTGGTCTTTGGTCTCTGTTGAAATCCTAAAATAGGTTCTAATGCCAGTGACGGAATGCCTCAGCAGCAGGAGAGATAAACTTGCCAGCAAGAGTGAGGGCAAGCAGGATAAAAGCAAAAAGCCTCTTTCTAACATGTCCTTTCATGTGGGCTGCCACCAGAAGGTGGGGCCCAGATTTAGGGTGGGTGTTCTGGCCTCAAATGACCCTGATTTTGGGTGGCTCTTCCCACCTCAAAGGATCCAATAAAGAAAATCCTCCACAAGTGTGCCCAGCTGCTTGGTTTTAGTTGATTCCAGTTTTAGTCAAGTTGACAACTGAGATCAGCCATCACAGACCCCAGGTCAGGCAAGAGGCCCAGCTTGACACATACCCCACAGGCTCTAATCTGTGATCCTTTTTCATCAGTTTCTTATCTACCTCGCTGCGGTGCAGTAGCCGTGCTTCTCTACTTTACTCTTAACACTGATATTTGCGGGGTGCCCTGCTCTCCACAGCACCCACTCAGTGCACGTATGTATGTGTGTGTGTGTGTGTGTGTGTACCCTCCCAGGTGCCCCAGGATATGGTGGTGCAACTGTGTGGTTCGTACAGTGCAGCTGAACTCAGCCCTCCTGGACCTGCCCTGGCTGAGCTGAGACAGGCACAGGCGGCTGGCGTGAGTCTGAGCCTCTATATGGAGGAGAGTGTGCAGGAACTGCTTCGGGATGCTGCAGAACGCTTCAAGGGCTGGACCAATGTGCCGGGGCCCCAGCATACAGAGCTGGCTTGTAGGAAGGTGAGCACCACATCTTCGTTTTGTTGTGGGCTGGGAGAGAGCACTGGGTCTGCCCCATAGAATTGCTCTGTCAACCTTGCTGGGCCTGTGCCTGGTACTTGGGGCATGGCAGCCAGCTGAACTAGTGTCTGAAGGAGTCAGGAACCACATGAGGCCAGTGCATCTCTCTGGGGCCACCTTCCTGAGTTCTCTTCAACAGATCTACTTCAGACTCACTGGCATCATGATAGCTCATTGAAATGCCTGGGTTTCCTTTGGCCCTGGACAGGCAAAGCCCCTTGTAGTACCCCAACTGTGTTTCAGTTTGTGCTGTCCTGCTACTTGGCCTGATCTGCCCCCAAGTAAGACCTCTCCCAGGCCCCATTTAATTGCCACATTATAGCTTCCTCTATCCAATACCTCCAGTCAGGGCCAGGGCTGGAGGTGGCTCCTAACAGTGCCCCTGTGTTAGTATTAGTAGCCTTGCTTGCTGTTTCTGGGATGTTGATCTTGAGTGGCATCGCAAGCCAGACATTTCTGTGTAGAGAATGGTCATGACTAAACCTTCCCTATGGGTTTAAGGTAGGGAACTTGCAAAGAGCCTGACAACATGCAAAATGCCCCTTCTTTTCCCTAATCCAGAAATATCACATGCTGTGCCCACATTGCCATAGGC